CTGAACTTCCATCTTCAGCGATTGTGCTATAATTTGGCTTGTTGCACACAACAGAAATTGAGCTAAATTCCAAAAAGGACTGTTACATTCTTCATTAAATTATCACTGCCATTCACTTCATTAGAAGAGTTTATGGAGTTACAATGCCTGTAATTTTTTAGTCTGCTTACTGACAAAACTTAATGCTTACATATGCTTAATTTGGCAAGGTTATCTTAAGTTCCATTCATCTTCCCCCACTAACAATATTCCTCCAAGATATGTGAAGTTTCATATTTAATACTATCAATCACAAAGTAATTGCCTCCAGTTCCCTGCCTCTGTGTTCAAAGGAAGGTTTTATACCAGATGTGATGATTGATGAAAAGGGGCTTCTTAGCCAGAGGAGGGCGTCATCCTCCATCCTTAGCGATGAAAAAGTCAGAAGGAGTTAACTGGAGAAAAGATGAGAAAAAGATCAGTCTGACATTTCCAAATTTTCTTTTCTGGTAGCGATGATAAATGCTTCTTCATGACCCCACCCCCTACTCCAATCCCACCCCATTATTTTGGTACTTTTATATTAGAAAGAAAACAGATCATTACAGAATAATTCTCTGGGATTCCAGGAGAAACTCCCTTTATGAGTTTTTGAATGTGAGGCTTTCTCATTTTCTCAAGTGGATTTCTGTAATGGGCGTTCATTTAGGTTCTGGTTATCCAAAGATCAACTGATCTAGCAGTTGGTTCTCTATAAAAGTCTTATCAATAAAAAAGAAACTTTTAATGCTTAGACATGCTGACAGTGATTTTTTTCTTGTTAAATATTTTCTGCAAGCTCTCCCTCCCTCCCCCCTCTCTGTAAATATAATCTTTCTCTTTCTTTCTCTGTCTCTCTCTCTCTCTCTGTCTCTCTTTTTCTCTCTCCCTCTCAATGATAGATAGATAGATAGATAGATAGATAGATAGATAGATAGATAGACAGACAGACAGACAGACAGACAGACAGACAGACAGACAGACAGACAGAAATGCGCTATAATTAGATATAGGTATAGATTAAGATTTATCCCCTAATTTATATCTTGTCTAGTTATCAAGTTTCTATGACAATTGCCTGAAATGTTGGCAATTCCCCCTTCTTTACCTTAATATCTACTCCTCCATTTCCCCCCTCCTTTTTTCCCTCAGGCCTTGAATTTTGGGCAAGAACCCATTCAGAGAGCAACCAGCATGGAATGATACTTGAAAACTTAGTTGTTGCTTGCTGAGCACCTAAAAACAAACACAGTAACGTTATGTTTAGTAGATGAACATGAGACATACACACACACCAAAATAAGATGCTCTAACTGTATGAAGAGGTGTTAGAAAGGTCACATGTCTTTGATAAGCTGTAGCACTGAAATTGCAGGCTATAATTGCTGCTGCAGTTTTTTTAAAAAGTGCAATAGTTTTCTCTGGTTTTGCATAGTAACTCACTTTAAAGAATAAATGATCACTTTGTGCTTATGCACATTTGAACCTACACTCCTTTGTTACCCTGTATTTGAAATGCTTTTTAAAAAAAGCTAAACAAAACCAGGCATTCCCTATTCACTAATCCCTTCCTCCTGAAAGAGCTAATCAGTTAACCCTTTGTTGAGTTTTTTGATTCTATATTTACTTTTTGTTTTCTACCTACAACATCTTCCATGGTTCAGAAAGGAGAGGCTGCTTCCTTATTATAGCCATGCTCTGTTCATTAGCACATTCTTGCAACATAACTATACCTAACAATAATTCAAAATATTCCAGATTTGAAGTATATTTTGCAAGGAGATGCAGTGGAACCATGCAAAGAATTCTAATAAAACCAGTAAAAAATGAGATAGTTGAAATTGGATATATGTGTCTGGAAGGAGAATAAACATAGAATATAAACAGTTGGACTGTCTAATGTATAGAAAGATCCACACAAGCCCTGCAGGAACAACTGACTCCATATTGATACTCAAGCAGCCGTCCCTCTGTTAAAGACCATTAGTGAAATGTCAGAGTGACAGTCCATGCTATCTTGGGAACCATTTGCCAAGAAATGGCATTGTCACTTCATCCTTGCATCTCTTGTCAAATCTCTTTTCACTGGCAATTCCCCGCTGTTGCCAACAGTGTGCAACTATATAGAAGCTATCTGAGACTTGGGGTATTTATGCACCTTCTATTTGCCTGCAATACTTGTGGATCTACGTTGTAACTCCTGCATTATGGAGAAGTGTGCAGAAGATATTCCAGCAATGAAGAAATAATGATTTGAGAAGAACAGGATTGCATCTTTGGACTCATAAGATTTCCTTGATACAACAGCAGTCATCCTGGTCCCTTAAATGTTTATTTGCTGGAGTAGTCATAAAATTACTATCAATGTATATCAAAAAGTCTATAGGAATTAAGAGTTGGTTTCTGAATTGTGCTGGCTGTCTTCCTATTCATGTCATTTTTGACAAGCAGGGGGTGATGTGATGCTGCGCAGGGGTTTGTGGGAATAGCTCTCTCAATTCTGTTTCATTACATGGCTAATTAAGCAAGGTCACTGAGCTCTTTTCGGGTCTTTCAGCTGAAGCATTTTAAAGTTTTCAATAGATCTGTTTATTATTTTACATGCCCTAACAATGTAAAGGTTTTAAATGCACATTGAGCATATGGTATATGCATGTTTACACACTAGCATGCATGTGTGTGCATGTGCACACAGATATTGTATTTGCATTTATAGAGATTATATATATATATATATATATATATATATATATATATATATATATATATATATTATGGTGGATTATTTCACAAAATAAAACCATCAAATTTTAATTATCTGTTGGGTTTTAACTCATATGCAAATGTGTAAGAAGCATAAATAATGAACGCAAAAGAATGTACGGGCTGTAACAATAAGGGTCACTTTACATTTACAGTTTGACTTACCAGTGAGATAGGATAGCTAGAGAGGTTAATTTCTTTATGCCGGAGAACAAGAATGGCACGCAGATCAATAATTAAGTATATAAACAAGCATATGAGCTACAGGATTACATAACACCAAGACTGGTTGAGCTAGGAATAACAATCAGGAACGTGGTTGTTCATGGACTCAAGCCATAATTCCTTCTTTTGCTTGCATTATAGATTACTCTGATTTGTATAGGATCTTTAATGCGTGCAATTCTGGTGAGATTACTATGAATAATTCATATTTATGATAAAGATCAAGTGACCTTTTCACATCTATAAGTCAATCCTAAATGCACATATTTGATTGTCAGATCAATGTAAAATTCTTATAAGATGAAAAAAAATTCTTACAAATTTTTAATTAATTATATAACATTCTATTGAAATATGTTTATTTGTCCAAATGAAGAAAACATTCTGAAAATTTCTTTGACTAAACCAAAATAGAAATCTGATCATAAGCTTAGCTTCCAGTAAATTTACAAGCAGGTAAGGAAACATGAATAGAGATCTATGAATAGTTCTTAACTTCAAAGGCATTGAGAAGCCAGAAAAGTGGAGCAAAAACAGTTGCATTTAGGAGGAGGGAACAAATATCTTGATTTTTATCACAGTTGTATTATAAAGAACTATCAAGGATCTAATGAATATACTCAGCATGTACCAGAAGTAGGGAATAATTGAATAGAAGTGATATGTAATCCAATCACCCTTTGCCCCACTCATCCTGTCCAAATGTAGGAGGAATACATGTGTGGGGTATGAGTACAGAGTGAGTGCACAAGGAGGAGGAGTTTGAAGGGAATCTATGAATAAATACTTCTTTCTTTGCTGCATCTTTGGTTCTTATTACTTAATGAAAGCAATAGCTTGGAGGTCATCAATATAGAAAAGGGCAGTCATCTCTGTCACCAATTTTAACTGGAGAAAAGTTATCTCTCTTCAAGGTCAACAGAAGATCGTTTATCAAAAAAGACTGAATAAATGTGGTACTAAGACACAGACCTGTTTGTAGCAATGGCTTTTGTCAGAAGACTGACTGGGAAAAAACCTAACTTGTCTTTGAGCATTCATGGATAATCTCATTATTAAAGCCAGCAATCTGCCATAGATATTCAAAGCTTTCAGTCTGACCCATAACTTGTTTCAGTCAGGGGAGTCCACAAATGCCACATACAATTTCTTATTCACAATGTTGACATACAAATGGGTCAATACAAAGCAATAATTTTTGGTAGTTTAACTGTCGGATCAAAGCCAGTCTGTTCCTCAAAAAGAACGTTGTTAACAACTCCATCTTCCAGTTTGCGCAGGAAATGTTTTACATAGAGTTTGGCTATGTTGTTAATGAGATTAATTGGCCTATAATTATAATTTTGACCACCTTTCTTAAAGATTGGAATAATAATATATAGATTCCAGTCTTCTGAGACATGGCTGTGTAATTGATATAGTTAAGCATATTGACTAAGATACAGTCCTTCCAATCTTTGATTATCTTTAAGTTTCCAAGAAGGGAATTTTCACTTGGAGGCCAAAGCCTTTATCCTTACCTTTATTGCAGTCATTAACCAGCACCACAGAACTGTGCAAATATCAAATATTCAAAATATCCAAAATTAAATAGACAATGGCAAATTAAGAAAAGACAAAACATTTCGACTGAAAGACAAAACTAAATAATATAAACTAAAAGTGTTGCTCAGGTTACACATATACAAGAAGAAGAAATTAAAATTAGCAATATGGATAATATAAACTTAGAACTGCAGTATAAAATACCAATACTATGAAATACATAGGCATACACACATGTTACACACATTATTTTTATCTTATTTCCCACCTTTTTAATGTTGATAAATAGCTCAAGGGGGCTAATCTACTAATACTTCTTTCTGCTGCTGCTTCTGAGGCTGCTTTAGAGAAGATAGTCATAGTTTTTAGCATTTAGCAAGATAAGGTCTAGTTAAGGATATTTCAGTGTTCTAGCTGTTGGTCAACTTGTTAATCTATTGTCTTTTCAGAGTATCACAAATTAGAAGTTGAATCCCAGTAGCTGCTGATTGGTGGGAAGACTGCTGGCAAATCATTCTCAACCACTTGGGTATGTTGTTATAATCTTCCAAGATGTATCATCAGCTGGAATCCTAGGCATATTCTGAGAAGTACAACAAAGCTGTGATGAGTTTACCAAAACTTTAGGATAGGAAGTCCAGCTAACTCCGAGGTTAAATTATACTGAAGCATCTCTGGCTCTGGGAAACACAAACACCGGTGGTCAGGTATCCATTCTTCCAGGAGGTTAATTCCAAATATTTTATTATCTGAGATTAAAATTGGGTTAAAACCAATTACAGGTAGTCTTCAACTTAACAATAATTCATTTAGTGACTATTCAAAGTTACAATGGAACTAAAAAAGTGACTTTTGACTGGTTTTCACACTTATAACCATTGCAGCATCCCCATGGTCACATGATCAAAATTCAGATGTTTGGCAACTGATTCATATTTATGTTGGTTGCTGTGTGCCAGAGTCATGTGATCCCTTTTACAACCTTCTGACAAGCAAAGTCAATGCTTTGCCAGATTCCTTTAACAACCGTTACTCACTTAATAATTATAGTTGATTCACTTAACAACTATGGCAAGAAAGGTCGTAAAATGGGGCAGAACTCACTTAATAAATGTCTTACTTAACAAAAATTTTGGGCTCAATTGTGGTCATATGTTGAGGACTACTTATAGTCCAATTTTAGTTTCAGATAATGAAATACTTGGGATTAATTTCCTCCTGTTTAGAGGAAAAGAAGTCTTAACATCATGGCAAGCTCAGATGCTTATGACAGGAAATGACTGCAGAGAATGACTTTAATCCCCTTTGTTTCCACCAAAATCTAGTAAGGATCACGATAAAACTGTTGTTCACACACCCACATCTTTCATTATGTCTATAAGAAAGGATAATTGTGTACCTACTTTCACTTAAATAAGACTTATTTTCTGTAATACCATATTGCTGGTGTTAAGCCTGGTTCATGAGTTCTTCCTTTATCTAAAGGAATTCATTCTTTCCTATTGTGCCAGGCCATAAATCACCTGCCTGTTGGAAAGTTAAGTCTTCAAAGCAGTGTAATAGCCGGAAGGGAAAAAAAGATAGTCCTTGGAGGATATTCCAGAGAGGGATAAGCAAAGGTTCATCACCTTTCCGCAAGGCAGCAGTCAATCCTGTCTTATGTAATATTAGGAAGACAGGCTGAAACCAAAAGCTTTGTTCTATGGCTGAGTTTGCAGGACCTTAGAATATGCTGCTACCTCCCTTGTCCTCTTGATTCTTATGCTGACTGGAAACATAGATTGCCCAGTTTCAAAGAGGCCACCTCAAGTTGGGCAAAGTTATATTAAATCTGTTAGTAATGTGTACTTTGGCCCTGAATGACAACAATCTAGAATTGATCATAGAAGTTGTTCATAAGTAAAATCAAATTTCTTGAGCATTTACTTCTTGAACAATTCTCACAATTATTTGCTTAATGTACACAGTTCTCAACCTCTTCAGGCCAGGCTATTTTTCCAATGTCATTGCTCGGTGTTTTTCACTGATAGGGTAAGAAGCAATATGGGTTTCAATTGGGAGAATCATGCAATACTCAGTGACGCTCTTGTTGTATCAAGCCTATTTCAACAACAAGTAATGTTCTTTTAGGAGCCAGATAAAATACTTACTCCAATATGAAAATGAACACTTCAGTAATTGAGCCATCCAGAATTGCTTTGCAGAGTGAGATGGCTGGCATATACATTCAAACAAACACACAAACAAATAAATAGGCACACAAAACAGAAGACTCTTTTGAAAAATGACAGGGAAATCCATTTATAAAGGTAGAGGGTGCAGCAAGTTGCTTTAAGGTGACATTCTAATCTTGAACCAAAGAGAAATATCCTTGGAAACTGAATATGGAGCCTCTGAGTCTCTGCAGTGGAACTACGCATCTTCACAACCTCACCTCTGTCCATTATTCTTTGCAAGTGATACTGGGTTCCTTTTCCTTCCTTGCTTAAGCCATTGAAGACTGTTTATCAATTTGTGCTTTAATTGCTGATATTTTGGAAAATTGTCTGTAACTTTGTTGGCTCAATTCTATACATTTCAGAAAACTTGAACTTCACCTATCCTTTGAGTTTCTCACCTCTATTATGTTTATATTTATCAGTTGCTAGTTCCCGTATTCTGGGCTCTCTTCCAACAGATAGTATTAACATTTCTCTTTTTTCTTCTTCTTGGCAACAGTTTCTTTCTCAAGAACCTTTCCTTTTTCACTTACAGTATTTAGACTGTTTTCACCCACCTCTTCTCTTCAAGCCTTATATTCTTTGTTGCAGTGTGCATTATATGTTTTCTTCAAAGTTTAACAAAGGTACCAAGATACAGAATGGCAACCAGTTGTTTATGCTTCCCAAGGAAACAAGAATGATTTCACATGGGCAAAGGAAGACCCCAACCTTCTTTTCAAACTATTGTCCACAGAATTCACAAGCAAGATTGGAATGCAACACTGTCTTCCATCCCCTAGTTTTCTCCAACAGCTGCTTTTTAAAAAAAAAAAAAAATTCCACCTTTCATCATTTTTTTATATAACTCCAGGCGGCAAACATATCCAACACACTTTCTTCCTCCTATCATGTATATATCATACGAAAATGTATATTACAATAATGTACATCTGAGTAGTTTGAGTAGCCACAAGTTCTTTGTTGTTTTTGCTGCAACTAACATGTTTAATTTTTTAGAAAAAAAATTACTTATGGTTAGGATATATTTTATTTTTTTCTTTAAGATAAACTTAGTAAACATGACCACTATGATCTTTAGCGTCAGCTAAGTTCTGTTCTTCTGTTGTCCAAATTAGCATTTTCACAATCACAACCAGTGCGTTTGAAAGTTAGCATACATGGATCCAACAGGCTGAAATGGTCATGTGAATTAATCTGGGAATAAACCAAAAATATATTCAAGTCTTACTTTCTAACTGCTTCCTCCTATAATCTATAGCCTTAGCAGTAATAGCACCTAGCCAACTTTGGCTATATCAGAAAGTAAGCAGAGTCAGTCCTGTTTAGTGGTTGCTAGGAGGCAATTCTACCAAGAATTGTGGAATTCTTTCACTGTTGATGAGGTAGAAAATTAAAAATAAAAGCCAGGAGAAGACAATGGAAAACCAATGCCAAGAAAATGAAAATAAGAGAAAGATGATGGATAAACAGATAGATAAATCATGATGATTGATAAATCATTTGCCCAGAGAGACGATGGTTGTGTTCAAACAGAGGCTCTAATAGTTTGTTAGAGTCACTGAACATGGATTCCTGCACTGAGTGGAAGGTTGTATTCAGGGTCTAAATAGTTCCATTCAACTCTATGACTTTCTGAAAGATGAATATTAAAACAAGAGGCTTAACCATCCTCTCACAATGAACCTGAACAGACTCAGAAACCTAAGGATTTATGCAAACAAGGAATTAGTTTAGTTAAGCTGACTATTTTGATTTTACTTGGAATTATATGAGCATGATTATTATGCTCCTTTCCTTAAGACCTTTTTCCAATTAGTGCCCTTTTGTATACAAAGATTTGGTTTCATTGGTTTAAAAAAATGGAACTAAGTTTTTTTTGACATAAAAAAACCTTATGATTGTGGATGTATCCTTTGTATTTCAAGGCTGGCACAAGATTACTTGACTTTATTATTTCTGGGCTTTGGACTGGGAGATCCAAAGAATTTTCCTTCTATTATAGACAAACTTTGATCCACCCTAAAGAGATTCTACCTGACTAGCAATAGCTATCATGATGAACTCTCTATCCTTAAGAGAGATCTATCATGATCTTTAAAGTATATCTTTTCTAGTTTGTAGCATTTACCATTGGTCATACTGAAGCCCTAGGAACTGAGTTCAGCAATTAATTAAATTACATTCTAACCCTCACTTCATGGAACTGAAACTCTAGCTCAATAATACTATACAGTATTGCTTTGCAAAGCTACAGCAACTGTACAATATCACGGGAAAGTAACAATGATTATGATAAGAGACAGTCTTTCCTAACTTGGTAAATTCCAGACAAGCTAGATTATAGCGCTTGTGATTTTCAAGTAGTGTTTCACTGACTCAAAATTATAGATATTTTTCCCAATATATCTGAAGAGCATTATGTTGGAGAGGGCTGCTTTATCATAAGACTTTTTACTATATTTTCTCATAGAATCTTTGAAGCCTTACTTTATTAAAAAAAAAAAAATCAGTCCCAGAAGAGGAGCCATACAGCTTGGGAAGTTTAAGTGATTTGTTTGCTACCATCTGACAAATTTCTTCAGTAGCTTTTAGAATTTGACAAGCAATTTCCTTAAGAAATATAGGCCACAAATGTAATAATGTCCCAGTAGAAGAGTTTTCTATTATTCTACTACTTGGTTGCTTTAGGATTTTTTTGTATGATAACATCTAGGCAATATGTCAGAAATTATTTTTTTTTCTTAGCATAATAATGGCAGAGAACTGGAAATATCTGAAGGGAATGTGAAAAAAAAGCCTGACAGTTTCTTATAATCTTTTTTGGTTTCTCTTAAACCTGTTCTCTTTTAAAAATAATTTATTTTAAATCCTTTTATATTTAAACAAGTGTTCACTCCCAAACAAGTGTAGTACATTAGCTAGGACACCAACTTGGGAATTTGATTTGCAATTAATTTCTAAAAGTCTTGGCTCTGAAGGGTAGCAGTTATTTTAGTTTTTAGTAACCCTCCCCCATTTCCTATAGACTTTTGTCAGGAACTTTTCACACCTGGGTTCTTAGACCTGGCCTGGTTGTAAGTATTCTGCCACAGATGTCAGCCCTTTTGTTGATGTCCTATTAGTAACCAGTGAATGGATGGGAACGAAACACAGCTTTGCCTTACTGCTTATCAATAGACAGCAAACATTCTTCTTTTCGATGGGCAAAGGGTCAAACTGTTTCACTTGGCTATAAAGCTCTGACATATAATTGCTGGTGATTAGCAATTTTAATTACCAGATGCTAAGGTTTCTGGTTGTAGAAGATTTTTTCTTCTTATAATTGGGCAGGTTGTAAATAGGTACTTCTTATGTGGACTTGATTTTTTTTAAGAAATAAAATTAATTGCAATTGCATAGATGTTTTAAACAAATATACAAAGTAAGAAAAAATAAGTTATGAAGATAAGAGTTGGTAAGAAGATCAACTAAAAGTTCTGTTATCTGGCTATTTTTTCATACATTTTTTTAGCAAAACAATATCTGAGAAAATGTGCTGCAGCATTTTTTAATTCTGTTGTAAACATTTATATATGCTCTTATTACATAAGAGAGGGAGTAATTTTGAAGTCTTTTCCAGCAATACAGTTATCAAGTAAACTAATCTCTTTCCTTAAGCCCTCAGTAAAGGAGTTCAAAATAAAACAGTAAACACAAAAGACTGGGATTTCCCTTAAGAGAGAATATAGCTACAGTATATTACTTAAATAAATTGCGACATTTTATTTTAAATATGATCTCAAATATTCAAAGTATAAGAAGCACATCCAACTTTTGCATTTTGTATTGTACTTTTCAAGGAGTCTGTGAAATAAAATAATGTAACTAAGCTAATTTGCATGATAGGAAAATAGCTAACTCTAGTGCTTTTTTAAAAAACAATTATTCTGTTCCAAGCAAAGAATTGGAATGTATTTTATTTTGGTTGATTATAAGAGTGTCTATGTTATCAAGGTTATGGTTCAGGTCTACATTCTCAGTACCTGGTAATTACAATCGCATGCTGGAAATAAATATGAGAAGGTCATAAATTGCCCTAAGTCAGGGACGTCAAACTCGCAACATCACGTGACGTGTCGCGACATATCACAACTTTTTTGCCATTGCCGGCAATGGGGTGGGCATGGTTTTGCTATGATGCATCCGGCCCGCAGGCCGGCAGTTTGACACCCCTGCCCTAAGTTATGCTATAATGCATTTGGTTTAAACTTAACATGCTTCAAATCCAGCCATTTTGGTTTATAAACCAGGATTAATGACTAGCCATCACTTATTCAGAAAACCATGGTTAATCAACTATGATTTAGCATGATAAGTAAAATAAATCAATGTCTATTTGAATTAGAAATGTTAGGCATATATGCTAAATTTAAATATTGTCCCATTCAATTATGTCATCAGTATATATTTACTCCTCATCATGCAAGGAGTAAAATAATTTGTGACCAATAAGAGTTCAAACAAATGTAGAGCATTGTAAATAAATTCTGCATTCTCTCTCTTTCTCCATCTCTCTCTGTTATGTGTGTATGCAGGGCTTTTTTTTCTCCCAGAACGCCCAGAACGGAGTTCCGGCACCTTTTTGGGATGGAACCTTGTAAGGTAGGCAAGGTGGGTTGTATGAGGTGTGTGAGTTCTGGCACTTTTTTTTTTTTTTACAAAAAAAGCACTGTGTGTATGTATGCAGAAGATATGATTTCATGATATAATTCAGTACTTGGATGTAAAATCTAAGGAGCAAATAACAAGTAGTGGCTAAAGCAGAAGAGCCAGCAGCAGGCTATGGAAAAAAGGTTGCTAGAGAAATGAAAGGAATTATGGAAAATGTTGACCAGTCGCAGAGTCTGGTTATAGTAGTACAAAAAGCAGCAAGTTTCTGAGTTCTAAACATCTGGCAGACTGTGCAACCAATCACAATAGTAATATATGCTACCTGATTCTCAATGGTTCTGGATAGCTCACAACAAACAAGAAATTTTAATAAAATGAATAAAACATAAAAGATAGCAAGCACAATCAAAGATGGGTCTCATTTTCTTTGCCCTCATTTAAGAGGGTAGATATTGTAACAGAGACCCTTAGCAGATGACATTGTTTAATCAAAGGAATCTGGAAGGTGCCAGCTCTGCAGTATCAAATCAGCCAGGCAAATATTAAAGGAGGCAGTTCCTCAACTAACCAGGATTTATGCCATGTAGAGCTTTATAGATAGCACCTTGAATTACATTAGAAACAAATTGGCAACTAATGCAGTTTATGAAGCAGAAGTGTTACATGGGGATTCCAAGGCATATCCATTATTGGAAAGGGCTTAATTGATGCACCCAACTGACTTAGGCAAAAGCCTTCCTGAGCACTACTGTCACTTACTATTCAAGCTGCTACTGTAGAAATACCTGCAATCACATACCAACCTTGAATGGGGAAGTGCTACCCCATTCAAGGTCAAAAATGGAAGTCTCCAGATCTGGGTAGTCTTGGTAGGATTAAGCCAGGGATGGTATTAGAGGCTGATTATATTATTAGGGCAAAACAATAGGAGGGATTAGAATTTGGAGCAGGGCAGAGAAGAGAATCATAGTGGAACAAGTGTGAAAGAGGAAAGAGAGGTCCTAAGCCTGGAAAGAAAGGGGCATTGAAGCTTTTATGGGTTGCTCAATTAGACTCACATGCCAATTTTCCAGAAATTGTTCTGGAGAAAACAGCCATTGGTCTGGAGGCTACTTGAAATTTGGGTCACTCAGCAAAAGATTTCAGGGATGTATTCTCAGCCTTAGAAGCATCTGTGGCAAGAAAGTTTGTTTATTGCAACAAACTTACTTAAAATGTTTAATGTGGGATTTCAGCCTGAGATAAACTCAAATATTTTATATTTAGGTTAAGTTATAAGGCAGAAGCTAAATCAACTAAAAATTATAATTAGAGATTAAGAGCTGGATTTTGCTCCTGCGTAAGTAATGTTGCTCCAGCACAGGGTTTTAATAAGTGGGAAAAAAGACTTATTAATAAATCTTTTTCTTCTAGACCAGAAGTTCAAATAAAATGAAGTGTGAGATTAATGGTACAGTTTCAAATGTATGGTTATGATTTTGTTTTCTAGTAGTAGGATAGTAATTAGATAAGCATCTGAATAAATCTGATAGACATGGGAAACTACTTTGAATGAAAGCAACAAAATATACTTACCATGTTGGTTACATTAGAGCATGTCTCTGTATGCACAGCCTTGATAAAGAGTTTGTATCATTTAGAATATAGAAAATAAACCCAACAGAGTGGGTTAAGGATACAAACTTAGACCTTACTTTTTAAATTCTTTGCTTTTGTTGCTCAAGGTTAGACCCATGCTATGTTATTTGCACATAGGTTTTTTTTTATACTTTGTTGATATTAGTTACCTGCTGTGACACGCAGTCCAGGGCAGTTTCATTGTTGTGTTGGGGAAAAAGCAGGTATTGTCCATCTGAATTAAAATCTTGCTGTGATAATAGGCTTCTATTGAGTCAACAAAATGAGTTGTCTATTTTGTCTTCACACATACATCTCTGCAAAAGCAAGATTGACAATCAGAACCATAAATATTTTGGACTTCATATTTTTCAGCCTGATGAAAAGCAAAGCTGTACAATAATTTCAAAATAAAAACTCACAAACAAGATGGTTCCATTTGTCCTGCTGATGTGAACTTTTTATAAAAGGTGTTAATTCAGTAGAGGTGTTTAAATGCTATTGACCAGTAATCATCTAAAATGTATATGTGAAAAATGTTCTATTAGTGTTCTGCTTTCTGATGTATGCATGGAAATGTGCATTGAAAGACAACAAATTGTGTTTATGCTCACAAAGTATCTCCTTTTTGTAAATTAACAAATGCTGATATTAGAATTGGCAATTTTTCTTTGAGGATGAAAAGGGATATTTATTCAAGCTTTGATAAATGACATATTTTCCAAAGGGTATCTCATCTTCCAGAATATGTACTTTCAAGATATGCATGTTTAAAATGCTTTAACAGTTGGTAACTTTGGTTAATTTGGTTAAGTGCTTTATATGTTTGATTCTGCAGCAGTGTCTTTATTTTCTTCTGCCTAATCATAGCCTCTTTCTATAGTAGGATTGCTCTGCAAGTTAATATTCCATTTCAGAATATCCAACATTGCAAAATGAGTCAGAGGTTAGTTTCACTTAATAAGCGTAATTCTTCATTTTCTCAAATGATCACATAGAATATATTATAGCCAGTTTAATTCTAAAAGCCTTTTAACAAGGACAAGCTCACCTATGTGTGAATTCTGGGCAGTTAGTTTTACCTCTCTGTTTATTTCCTTGAGCCTTATTTCCCTAGAAATTTCTTCCTGAAAGGCAAGGTCCAAAGGTATTCAGAGTAATCTATTTTGAATCAAAGATGTAACCTAGTTTGAACAGCTACTCCTGGAGAAAAAAATCTCACCTTTTAGAACAAAGTAAGCTTTTAACTGGTAAAATATTCTTTTTCTAAAATAAAAATAACAATTAAATTCTAGCAAAACTTAATACCATTTATTTATTTAATTTAGAAATGCAAAACACCATGCAAAACAATGTTCTATTTAGAATGTATAAAAATAAAAGCATCTTTCAATAAAGTAATAACAAAAATAGCAATTACATCTCCAGGTAATGAGATTGATCAACCTTTGATCAACCTTTAACAACAATGTTCAATCTAGTATAATTACACTAATTATAATAACAACATACAATCTATTCCTACAGTTAATCATAGTCTCAGTACATTATTGCACCTGGCTGTCTTTGGTTGGGCTCAGTATCTAAGCAGTGTCAGGCTTAGTTAATAGTTGGTAACGAATATTGCCAGAGAGTTTGGGGGCTGCAGGCTAGACTGAGAAGTGAAAGATCATAGTGGGAAACTTCTTCTGTATTGTTACCAAGAAAGCTACATGGATGTATTTCTGTAGTCCCTAAGTCAAACTCAACTTCAAGGAGTTTGTCTTACTGTTAGAAAGACTTAAATTGATATATGATAGCAGATATTTAATTTGGCTTCCCAATGTACAACTGGCTAGTGAGTACATCCTTTCAAAACATTTTGTTTGAACCCCCCCCCAGGCCTGAGAGATAAAGGGGATAGGGCAGTGGTGGTGAACCTATGGCATGGGTGCCAGAGGTGGCACTCGGAGCCCTCTCTGTGGGCACACATGCCGTTGCCCCAGCCTTGCCTCCCCCCGTGACCCCCTCCTCTCCAGCAGCCTCCCTGAAGGAGAGTCGCCCCTGAGCGTGGCCCACATGGAGCAGTGCAGCCAAGGACATGGCAGTCAGGCAGCATAGACAAGACTCTGCCCTCACACCCCATCATGCAGTTGATGCTGCAGGGCGTGGGCAGAAGGTGTGGCCACCATAGCGCTGCTGGACTGCCTGGGTAATCTGCGGTGGGCCCTGGAGGTGGTGAGTGGTCCTGTGACCAGGTGGGGCAGAGGGGGCAGAGCAGGGTGGGGCAGGGGGGTGGAGCAGGGGCGGGGCCAGTTTTTGGGCACTCAGTCTCTAAAAGGTTTGCCATCACTGGGATAGGGGCTCACAGACAATACTACTCAACCATGCCTTTATTTTATAGAATAACTTTCTTCTAGAATTTGGGCACCACCTCATCTTCCAGGAGCTACTGATTTGGGGGTAAAGTAGCATCACATTTATTACATCAGCATTCTACTGTTTTTGTATTTGATCATTTTGCTCTTGTATTTTATTAAATCCTTTCATTCTTGTTTGATGTAAACTATAATACAAATCACCTCTGGAATCCTGTGATATAAAAGTAAAATAAGTAGATAAATCTATGTTTTCTGGGGTTATCTAGAATAAATGAAATCATCTCTTTTCTCTAAAAGAAACACCACAGCCTAATTTTGGTGCTGCAGATGTTGTGATGCTGTTCTTAGAGCTAGAGCAGTGGTGGCGAACCTATGGCACGGGTGCCAGAGGCAGCACTCAGAACCCTCTCTGTGGGCACGCATGCCGTCGCCCCAGTCCTAGGCCTTCAGCTGGGTTTTATAAAACCTTTTCGCTTTAGGCCTTTGCTGCCGTGTGCAAAAAAAAAAAAGATTCAATCAATCAGTCAATTTCAACTTCTTGCGGGAAAAAAAAGATCTTGCAAAGTTGGAATTGATTGATTGAACTTTTTAGTCCCACCCAGTCTGCCGTTACCACCGCAGCCATACCCAGCCAATGGGCCACACCCAGCCAATGGGCCACACCCACCAGGCACCCGATGATGCATAAGTGGGTTTTGGGTTGCAGTTTGAGCACTCGGTCTCTAAAAGGTTCGCCATCACTGAGCTATAGTATAAGTTTAATTTTTAAAATGTATTTATTTATTTATGGTCAATGACCAACAAATTAGCTACCACCCTAAAACAACATATAAAAGGAGGCTAAAATATAATACAATAAGAACAATAAACCAACATACAGACCTATCAATTAAAATATGCACATATGAAAAATGAAAAAAGAATAAAACAAAGCAAAAGAAAATAAACTAAAAATAAACATTAGATAGAAGAATAAAAAGA